ACCCTGAAAAACTCAGGCCAGCAAATACGACCACCAGTCAAACAAGTACACGTTTAAACATTTTGCCAATGTGTTGAGATCATTTTTAATTAAAATTTGAGACCAGTGCTGGCTTGTATGGCTGTTCTGCTTAAGTAACAAGTGAACATAGATAGAGACACTAGCTCTCAAAAGGAATATCACTGAATTCAGAATAGAGACACTAGCTCTCAAAAGGAATATCACTGAATTCAGAATCAGGGAGGTCTGTCTTGGGTTCCATTCTTGGAGGTTAATTTATGGAAATACTTAAAGGATTTCACTATAAAATTATTTTACCCATGAGGTGGTACTATACCATGGACAATCATATTCGAATTTATTTTATATACTCACTGCTTTTCACTGACAACTAAAGTACAAGCTGATGTCAGTCAGTCAATAGATATTTACTAAGCACTTATATGTCAGGCACTATGCTAAGGCTGATGATACAAAGAAAGGCAAATTTTCACTAAAGAAAGGAATATTTCTCTAAAACTTTCTATTTATCCTCATTAAATTTCTCCTTATTTATGGTATCTGCAGCTAATGCATTTCCCTTTCAAATTACCTTTATATACACTGTACATATGTGTATGTACAAGCCTTGTATTTACCTAGATGTCTGCATATTGTCTCCCCTACTAGAATATGAGATCCTTATGGAACGGTGATTTCATATTTCTTTGTATTCCCAGTATTTAGCACAGTACCAGGAACTTAATAAAAGCTTGTTGACTAACTGACTGGTATGTTAAGATATTTGAGCTGGAACCCAACAGAATATATTTACCTTGCCCTCCTTGGTAGGGTCCCTTTCTGACCCTTGGTAAGGAGCCACGGATTCCCAGGTGACCACCACCACACTCTGGGGTTGGAAAGAGACCTCAGGGAAACCTTTCCGGACACAATCGGCAGCTAGCTGAACAATAGCAGGGGAAGAATCTTCCCGATAATAAACCTTTCCACCATTTGTGGTGTCAAGGTCTGCCAGGAAGGGTGCAACAGCTCCAAATGAAGGTGGAAATCGACCAGGGCTGGCTTCTTCAAGAGGAGGTTCACTCATGGCAATGAGGCCATTTGTAGAGACCTGTACAAAAAAGTCAAAGGCAATTTAAAATGAGTATGACATTTATTATTTTCTTAAAACTCATTGAGCACTCATGACAACTGCCCCACAAAATGCAAAAGACACAGTGCCTACTGTGTCATTTGTACTCAATACTGAATTGCTATTCCTATTACCGCTAATAACAACAATTGACATTTATGTAGCACTTAGAATTTGTATAACACATTAAATACAATATCTCATTTGATATAATTAATGAAGTGAGTCCTTCACAGATAACAATCAGGGCAATTTAACTATTGAAGTAGAAGAGGACTTTATTCTAAGGCTGGGGAGGATTGCAAAGCTCTGGCGTACTGGCACTAATGAGCCAAATTCTCTCCACTCCCACATAAACTCAGGGGGAAAGAAACCATCCTGAATGGATTTAAGACACCCTGGTCACTGAACTAAGAGAGCTGAGTTGATAGAAAGAAACAAATATGAATGGTAAAAGGCCCGATGATTTATTACCAGATTTCTTCAGAATTTAAATCTATATAAAAAAAAATTTACCAAACCAGAAAGATTTTTAGCAGCTTGTTCTCCACTTGGTGAATCCAGAGTAAGATGAATGAAATCAGTGTTCTTTTCTTTTTTTTGTTTTAAATAATTTTTTTTGTTATAAACTTACTATCTTGACGAAAATGAGCAAATCAACAATAACAAAAGGAATAAAATCACACATAAAACCACAAACTCCAAAATTTTTGCAGTTTGCTACATCTTATTTGCTCTATGAATCTTTTCTTAGCTCTCCGTATCTCTAGCATTTAGCAGTGTCTGATACATAGAAGGTACTCAATAAAAATGTTCGCTAGTTGATTGATTTTATTGCTTTTAAAAGTACCATTGTCATTAGTGTGAATGTTGTTCTGATTCTTTGTTCTGCATCATTTTTTGAAAATCTTTCTCTATGTCCCTGCACCTTCATTAATTTGTCAATTATACTCCATTCTACCAATATGCCACAATTTATTCAATTGTTCTCAAATCACTGGACATATAGACCACTGTCAGAATTTTCCTATTAAAAATGGAACTGCTATGAATATTTTTGTACCCATAGACCTCTTTCTCCTTTTAGTAACAGTCCTAAGAAATAATTCCAGCCACGGGTGGTCAGTGGGTATAAACAGTTCTGTAGATCTTCATATATGTCAGCATATTTCAGCATTCTCTTTTATGCTACAAATTAGTGCTCTCCTTGAGTTCCTAAGAAAGTAGCTAAAAGATCTTTGGCAATCCCCCATCACACTATTTGTGTCCCCAGTACTATGTTTATAAACTAACATCTCACTGTTCTTTCAAATTCACAGATGATGACAAATTCCACTATTACAAAAGAACTCTCGTTTTTATAGTCTTTTTCTTTTAACCTTGATGAACCATAATTTTTTAAAATTAATTTTCTAGACCTCCCCCAACATATGAAATCAAACTTAGCATTCCATGTACCCTTCAAAGGGCAACAGCATAAACACCAAGACCAGTCAGCTCTTTAACCATTTCTGGGTTGACTGGCAAGTTTGTAGGTTTGAGAGACTCGTTTTTTCTTTTTGTTTTTGTTGCCTTCATTTCTGTTGACTTCTATGTCCATAATGGGAGAAAGGAAAAAGAAGGGTAGCTAAAATAAGGCAAGTTTATAATTTGTTTGAAAAAGATGACAAAATATTTGGTGGGTTGGGCAGGATCAGCGGGAAGAATTTCAGAGTTTTGAAGTTGTTGAATTTGTCTGAGCTACCTCAAAGTTTCCTCCAAAGAAGAAATCTTTTTCTTTGCAACCTATGAAAAAGGGGGGGGGGGGAACCTTCTCCTGACCAAACTTCGGGTGGTAATTTCCTAGAATTAACTGGTACAGACATTATTTTCCAGATGCAAATGGACAGACTATGGAGAAGGAAGTTAAGGAAGGAATTTCACACAGACATTGTCACATTTGCCTCTCTCTTTCCTCCCAAAGATGTAGTACTGCACAAACATCACAGTTAAAGTTACATGTGGGAGTGTGGCAAAGGAATACGCTTTCTTAAAGAATAAAACTTTGGCAGCTACAGGCTGCTTGTAGGCAACTGTAGTATATGCTTCTGGGGACCACATGGGTTTTCATTTAAATGGCCATTTCCGAATGGAGTTTAAATCAATGCAGCAACTTTGAAAAAATACTTCTAAGGCCTCCAGGAAACTAAAATGCAGGAAAAGCAATCTCAAGACATGAACCATTATCCCTGAAATGTACCTTCCTCACTGTGGTGCTGGCAAAATTACTTTGATTTTCAAATAATTATTCATAAAATTATATAAACTCCTTGGAGGAAGAGCATTGAAACATGTGGTATATTGGGCAAAGTACTAGATGTGCAATCACAAAAGTCCTGTTTAGAGCTATAGCTCTGACATTTACCAGTTGTGTAAACTAAAGTGAGTCATTTAATCTGACTTAGCTTCAGTTTCTTCATCTGTACAATGAAAATAAAACTAAATGAAATACCTATTTCACAGGGTTGTTGTGCAAGAGGAGAGGAGAAAGGAGGAAAGAAGAAGGTGACGAAGAGAGAGAGCGAGAGAGAAGGAGGAGGAGAACAAGGAAAGGAGAAGGAAAGAAGAACAAGGAGAAGGGGAAAAATGAGAAAGAGAGGGAGAAGAAGAAACAGCGGCTAACATTATATAGGACTTTAAGGTTTGCCATGAGCTTTAAGTATATTTTCTTATTTAATGTTCCATTGGACATTTTCGCTTCTCAGTCCTAGGTTTCACATTTGTGAAATGGATGTATTATGTAGCCCAGAGGTATTAAATTCTGGACCTGAAAGTTCCGCAGCCAGACCAGATTAAAATATAATTGGGAAATGTTTAACAAAATAAATAAAAACACAATACAACATAGATTGTGTTAAGCTGTGGGTTTCTAAGTCAATACGAAGCTGCCAGGATCTACTTCTATTTGAGTTGGACACCACTCAGGTAGCCTACATTTCATTTTCTTATTTAAAAAGTTTGTAAGCTGATAGATCAGGGAAATATCATCCATATAATGTGTCCAGATTTCAGCAAGGCATTTTGGCAAAAATGTCTCACAATTTGTCAGATGGAGAGGTGTAAACAGCCACATGGATTCAGAAGAGACTGACAAACTGGTCCCAGAGGGTCCAGTGGAACATCTCTAGCACAGTGCCTAAATATTAATTTTGTCTTTGTCAGTATTCTGATAAATATTTATAATCAATGACTTAGATGAAGGACATAGATGGACTGATGATTATCAAATTTGCCTAGGACATGAAGCTAAAATATAGATGGCATGACAACTGGTAGATGGTGTAGTAGACAGAGTACTGGGTCTGGAGTTAAGAAGTTCTGAATTCAACTCTGGCCTCTGACACTTAATAGCTGTGTGTCCCTAGGCAAGTCATTTCACCTCTGTTTGCCTCAGTTTCCTCAACAATAAAATAAGGATAATAACAACACCTACTTTGCAAGGTTGTTTTGAGTATCAAATGAGATAATATTTACAAAGTGCTTGGCACAGTGCCTGGCACACAGTAGGTGCTATATAAATGCTTATTCCCTTCCCCTTGTTCCTCTCCCCCAAACTGAAACTGGTAAAAAGTTGCCATAGTCTCTAAGGCCATCTATTCTCCTTATGGATGACAATGGAATCACAACATTAGGACTCTAACACCTCAGTACCAAATGTGTTCTGTAGTAATAGCTGACCAACTTTCGGGAATTACAAAGCATTTTACAAACATTATCTCATGGAGGAAATGGAAATAGCATTTAATAAGCTGAAGTAAAAAAGAATGGTTGCATCAGGCAAAGTATCCCACATTTCACTGCATAATTGTAGCACCCTGTTTTTTTCAGTCCCAAAATTGGTTTATAACCTTTCATTGAGTAGCTGCCACATGATATAATTCTGTTTGTCATGCTGCTTAAAAGGTAAATAGAGCAGCAATGTATTCACCAATGACATATGGATACCCATTTATCTCTCACACATCATGAGCCACAAGCCTAGAATTCTCAGTGCACACACATTGTCTATATGTAAACAAACCAGCTAAATATCACTTGCTCCATTTCTACAATGAGTAGATGATGAGTGGGAATCACCAGTTGACACTCTTTCAAAATATTAAGTACCCTTCCTTGGAACTGATATATATGTGGGCAATTAAGAATTGAGATCTTACCTCATTTCTAAAATATATAGAGAATTAAGACAAATTTATAAGAACACAAGCCATTCCCCAATTGATAAATGGTCAAAGGATATGAACAGACAGTTCTCAGATGAAGAAATTAAAGCCATCTATAGTCATATGAAAAAATGCTCTAAATCACTACTGATTAGAGAAATGCAAATCAAAACAACTCTGAGGTACCACATCACACCTATCAGATTGGCCAACATGACAAAACAGGAAAATGATAAATGTTGGAGAAGATGTGGGAAAATTGGAACACTAATACATTGTTGGTGGAGTTGTGAAATGATCCAACCATTTTGGAGAACAATTTGGAACTATGCCCAAAGGGCTACAAAAATGTGCATACCCTTTGATCCAGCAATAGCACTTCTAGGGCTATATCCCAAAGAGATCAAACAAACAAAGGGGAAAAGGACCCACATGTACAAAAATATTCATAGCAGCACTTTTTGTGGTGGCAAAGAATTGGAAATTGAGAGGATGCCCATCAACTGAGCAAGCTGTGGTATATGAATGTAATGGAATACTATTGTGCTATAAGAAATGATGAACAGGCTGACTTCAGAAAAACCTGCAAAGGCTTATATGGTCTGATGCTGAGTGAAGTGAGCAGAACCAAGAGGACTTTGTACACAATAACAGCCACGTTATACAATGACTAATATTGTTAAACTGAACTCTTCTCAGCATTACGAGGATCTACATCTCCAGAGGCCTCGGGATGGAAAATGCTGTCCACATCCAAAGAAAAAACTATGGAAGTCG